TTGAAACACTTATAAACGGTTAGTACATGTTACTATAGGAATATAATAATGGGATAACGGGACTTTAAGATCCTTGAATGACTGACGTAGAGAAGAGAAAATATGTTTGACTAAATACGAGACCAAATTTGTGTTTAAGGATTAAAGATTGAAAACAACAACCAGTATTTATTCATATTTTATTACCCTATGACATAAATAAACCGACAGACTGCAGGATAAATGGCGGGAAAACAAAACAACATAAAGCGCATACCACACCTAGCGTATCACCCATATCTAAAAACAATGCAAAACAGAACAGAACATAATTTCCTTTTTACTGTACTGAGTACATAATCAAAGAAAATTAAACAAAATATCCATCAATACATTAAATTAACATTACAAACTTGTAATACATTAGTAATATATTTTGAATACAGTATCGCGTTAACAATTATATGCTCTACTTCATGTATGGGCATAGACAGGCTTCATTTTCGTCATGTTAATATGTAGTCTTTGTGTAAAAAAGAAATGTAAAATAAAAATTAACCCCAAAAGCTTTGTAGATTAAAATCTTGAATTAAAATTCAGATAGGTTAAGTGAACTCCCTTGCTTATTATGTGATATTCCCTTTTTATTACTCAAAGGAGTTTGTGACATTGTAAAACTTACAATTATTTCTTATATAAAACTTATATAATTCTTTAGCAACATAAAAGAACAATTACTGGCAAATGAATATCTTACCCCTAAATTATTGTTCCTAATTTTATTTTTTAAACACGACCAACTTAGTTATTACCTTGTTTTGATCCAAGACTGAAATGTACGACAAACAAATATTTTGTTTCTGTTTTCTTTCCTAGAGTAAAACCGGAAGGTGTTTCTGTTTTCTTTCCAAGAATGAAACCGGAAGGTTTTTACAAGTAGTATTTCCATGATTGAAATATTTTGTTCTACATCGACGAATTAAACCCATTAAGAACATGCGAGGGTTAGGTTTTTGACATTTAAATTGTTATAATATAAGCAAAAGAAAGCTATGATTTTGTAAGTTTCAAACTTTCAATCTACAAAATATAAACGAAAATGACTTTGCCGAAAATTGGAGTTAGTTAAACGTATTTATTTTGTATGTACAAGTGTTTTGTTTCAAATAATTAACCTTCATCATTAATGTCTGACTTGATATCTATTTAACATAAATCAAGTCGGTCATTAGTGATAATGGTATTGGAATTTTTCATGTTCCATTTTTTATATTTAACACCATGTAACTTAGCTTACAAGCAACCACACTCAAGTACGCTTGCACACATGTAAAACAACACATACAAAACTCTTATACAAACACAACAAATACGATTTTTCATTAATTGAACTAACTTCAAATGTCGGAATAGTGTTTTCCATTGATAATTTATAGGTTGGAATTATGAACTCATTACAGTCGTACAAAATGGTACATGTATTATTTACAGTTCATACAATAGATTAATGCATAAATATGCGCTCTAATAAAGCAGTGGCCATGATTCTCAAAAATGTGAGTTGGCTGGACTAGTCCATTGAAGGCATTTGTCATTTATGCCAACACGTTAAGTGTTGAAAATTGAGTACCGCTCAAGTCGGTGCTCGGGGACAAGAGGGATGTTGCACTTTTTCATTATCCATCATGTGCAGACTCAATCAAATCGTCTGCAATTCCCATGTAATTTTTTCCTAGGGATCATTTTGTCTCAGATATTTTTTACCTGAAACACATTTTGTATTAATCTTTATAAAACTTCAGATCTGTTTTTTTACTGAACTGAGGTGCACAGCTTTTGTCTTGAAACGGTTATCATCAACTCAAGGGAACTCCATTGTTTTTTCTTTACATGACTGGACTTGATTTTTTAAAATATATCTGTACAATATATAAAGGTCTTCACTTAAGTCGTTATTGCAAAATTCATATTATTAGCTGAGTCTTGTTTTTCGGTATAATTATTTCTTTTATAGAAAAATTCAAATTAATTGACCGTATATTTCTTTATAATCTAATGTTTATCTTTCCGTTAAAAGTGTCCCAGTTGATCTTTGCACACAATTCAATATATATATTTAGGCCTTTTGACCTGAATTGAGTTCCGAAATATCCGAAAAAAGAAAATATCCGAAAGATTTAAATTGTACGTCATTCAGAGGGACACAGATAGCAGTTTGTATGAAAATTTGGATTTTCACTAATATTAATCATTTATTGGATGTAAATGTTTTGGTCAACATGAAGTGGGGAATATTTAAAAATTCTTTGTGTGTAGGCTAAATTCAAAACATGTTTATTAAACATAATTATTCAAATATTTAACCAAAGTAAACATGTCACTAACGGGCTGGATTAGTTAGCAACACGACCTGTGCAATACAACGAGAAATGATCGTGTGGCGGTTTTACAAGTCTTTTTAGTTGGGACGTAGTCCCAACTAGTGCACTTACAAACCCGAAATTTCCAACCATACAGGGTAACGCCCACTGCAGTGACGTTTCATCACCATTCTATATGCTATATTGTATTCTAACATTTTGCAGGTATGTTGAATTCATAGTGTTCATCCGACCATGACTGACGCATAACCGCCGCGAGTAAAAAATAGTGCTCTGTATTTCTGAAAACTTTGATTTATTGCGAATAGAAGAGAGATAAGAAAATTATTTTTCTTGAAAATCATTTGCAATTGAGCTTGAATAACGGTATTAGAAATGTAGCAGATATAATTTGAAAGGTTGATTAATTCTATGAATGGAATGTTAATTGGTACATATGAGGCGAGTCACGACAAAACCAACATAATGGGTTTGCGACCAGCATGAATCAAGATCAGGATCCATCCTGTTCGCTTACCAACTCTTCTTCAAGTAGGTAAACTGATAGCGAACAACATGGATTGCAGGCCGGTCTGGATCCATGCTGGTCGCACACGGACTATTTTGGTTTTGTCGTGACACGGCTCATATGAATTCGACAACTTCCGGTTTACTATATGACCTACTTAGTTTAAACAATATTTTATTAATAATCCACACATTTACATAATAAATAACATAAAATAAAATTTACGGATTGAGTATGACCTACTTGACAAGCATATCGACCTGTATAGCCCATAAGGTAAGTTTTAAAGCAAATATATTATTAATTTGATGAATAATAATAGTAAGTTTATTTATTGATGTCAGTTCGTTCCGAGGACTAAAACTTTCGTTAATAATTTCGAAGTAATTTGGGAGATCTCAAATCTTTCGTCCCCAAGACATTTCGACCCTAGGACATTTCGACCCTACTGTTGCCTAGTCTCAATTTTTAGACTGCATTACCGACAGATGTTACAAATTTATTTTACACAGATGTCTGCCTTTATAGGGAAAACTGGCATATACGCATACAATTTGTTGGTCCTGTCACGGCCGTAACGTCACATTCTCGAATATTTCAGAATAATTTTATTTATCTTCATGTTTATACATTCATTAAGTTATAACCTTATTCAATGAATAAAGGTATTCTATGAAAGATTAGAAAAAAATGATTTAACCCTCAATATGAGCCATTTAGCTCTTTTTTAAAGGCTGTTTAACCAGTAGCCCAAAATAGGTATATTTTCCCCTGAAAATGCTACATGTAATATTTTCCCCTAAAACCCCTGTGCACATTCTTCACAGGAGAATAACTTAACATCAGCTAGAAGACAGAAAGCTGTCCCTTAATAGATAGCCTCTGCTATTACCATGCATGTTAAAGGAACTCCACTGAGCTGTACACTGTGTACTCTGGAAACGTGTTAAAAAACATGTCAAATCAATTACTTAGACTTGTTTTAATCATACAATATCTGCAATACCTGTTATAGTAACTTCCAGGGTTTGTTCAAATCACATGACTTGTTTTTAAACTATTCGGTGATTCTGTTGGCGACCAAATTTCGTTCAACATATATAGATATATTTAAGCTTCAAACCCAAAATATATAGAATCTATACAAAAATTCATGCTGGGACTTTAGGAAAAGTCATTTTAGGGTGATTTGAGTACAGAAGATCATTTTTGTATTTTTGTCATTATTTTGCCTGTGTATCCCTTTAAAAGCCTAAAATCATAAATGTGTTAGGGCACTTTAAACAGAAATATGCAAAGATAGTTAAGAAATATACTTTGAAGTAAATTGTACATATTTTTATGCTTTTTTAGCTTGATTTGGATGAAAAGCGCGTTAAAAAGCTTTTCATTTTGCATATTATTTTTACATTTTGAATAATTGTTCTGGAAAAACGAAGTGCGTGAATGATCTGAAAATTTGCACATTAAGATTAGTGGTCTAAACTTACATAAAATGGTACATTTATTTGAAAAAATATTTTTAGTGCCATCATGTCAAAATACCTCGGTGGAATCCCTTTAAATTGAATTACAATTGAATCTTTTTAAATGTATGGGTAAATTCCATTCTCAGTGGTTGGAATTTGATTTTCCCCTTTTCTGATTTATCAAGCTATATTTTCCCCTTCAGAAAGCCACAGGTTGTTTTGAAAATTGAAAAAAAATCTCTGCCACCATGATAATTGTTAACCTGAAAAATCTTCAGGCACGGAAAGGGATTTGAACCCCAGACACACCATGTTGTGAAAATGTCAACACAACAGCAAGGCTGTTGGAAATGATCTATACCTGTTCTCACTACATGGTTGAAGTAATTTAATCAGTGTTAATTAGACATTTAACAATTTTTGATAATACTGATATTCACATTTTATTCACATATCTACATGTAATAAATAAATATCATAATAAAATGATAAGAACATTTTCTATTTTAGTGGTAATATGCGGAGTAAATGAAGAAATATTATTATCATAAATTTTCAAATTTTATGTCATTACATGCTGTACACAATCATATTATAGTGTACACATATATATATATATACATTGTATATACAGATATACACACACTAAAAGAGAAGTATTAGATAATTTTGAAGATGAAATCTCTAAATTGATATTTTCAGGGAAATAAAAGATCATTTACTCCAATATTCACTTGGAAAGGCTGGTACATGTAATAAGCTAGAAAAAAGAATAAGATTAAAGAATTTAGACAAGAAGATGATCACAAACAACAGGTACTTGTATGATATTTGATGTATATTTCAAAAATCAAACTATTTTCCAAAAAGTATTCATGAAATCATATGCCTTTTTACCAGTGTCACCACAGGCCAGATTACCTGACCCATTCCCAGTGGCAAACAATGCCAAATATGCTTATTTTTTTCAAGTTTAGAAAAAATCATAATCAAGTCAAAATTCCTGTTATCAAAGCTGACAATTTTTCTTCATTCCATTTCAATCCAATATGGTACCAGACATATATGATGTTCAAAAACACATTTTATTGTCATTTTTTATGTATTTTTTATGCTTTGAATGATATAATAAGTCAATTTGTTGGATAAACAATTTAATTTGTACATGCTATACAATTTGTTGGATAAACAACTTTGTACATGGTGCTGAATATTTTTCCCAATTAAGATGCAAAATTTCCTAACCTGTGCTAGGAAATTTTTCCTGAAATATGTCTAGGAAAAGGCTTGAAACTGAAATTGTTTAGTTTGCATTTCTAATCTACATGCTGAAATAGTCCAAGACTTATTCATATATAGTACAGCCTAAATATGAGTGTCAGTGCATGCTCACAGTTTATTATAGTGTAAGTTGAGAACATACTTCAAAATTTTCTGTCAATTCTGCCTATGACAGTCTTTTTCCTATGCTGAAAATGATCACTTACATGAAATATCATAGTATGGTGTTTTAAGGTTGTACAAATCAATCATACAGGGCATTACAAGGAACTGCAAAATTTACAATACTGTTGCCTTGAACAAGACCTCAATATTTATACGAATTTAACCATACAGTTCATCCTTATGAACATTGTTTACATTTTGATTATTCAAGATTGAAACAAATGAAAATATTCAATAGCAAAGCACAGCTGTGAAGTGATTGGTTTCACACCAAATGATTTAAATATGTACAAAAATATTTCCCTACCCTTTGTCTGATTGACCATTGTTTTTCTGTTTAGTGTGCCTTTAATATTGCTAAGATCTGCTTAATTGACAGGCTGTTTTTAAAGTTTGAAGTGATAATCTTTGAAACATTCATATTGGTTATTAAACTAACCATAATTTACATTTATTTGTAGCAAATAAATAATTGTACCTTTAAATTGTATGCCGTCTAAACAAATTAATTGTATATTGTCTGAACATATGTGACAGAAAAAATATTACAAAAAGGAAGTCAGTATTAATATGAGTATTTATTAAAGAAATTATATTTCAAATATATCTAAAAATTAAATAGTGTTATTGAAAGTCATTTTGTATGACAGACACACAAATCTAGTGCTCTGCATTATGAATGTATATAAGAAGAGATAAATAAGATAATTTAAAACATTTTATGAAAATTTTTGCAGTGTCTTCATATAATTGTTGTTGCATTTTTTTAAGGTGGACATGTGTTACTGTCAAGCAAATGAAGATTAGCACCACAGTCTGTGGGAATCTCCAGTTTCCAGATGTAGTGATCATAACTGTAGAGGCACCAATATGAACACTTGGGACTACATATAGTTGGACTATTTTAGAGGGGTAGTCACTAGTCTGAGTTACCACTTCAGTTGAATCCCCTGTCAAGAACATTGTGTTGAAGGAAAATGTTAACTCTAGTTGTTTTGGCTTCAAACAAAACCATGACACTTACCCAGCAGTGATAGATTAAACCAATTGTGATATTTTGACTGTTTCCCCAAAAGTTTCCATGAATTGAAGCTCCTGGGACTTGTGTAACATATGACTGCACATTCCAAAATTTATTAAATATTGTGTAATGTTTAGCAATGTTGTGTAAATACATTCAGAGCTAGTATAACATGTATCTTAGCTTGCCTGGTTTAATGAAAAGTAATGAACCTGAGAATTGAAACTAGAATAAATTGTTGTTATTAGTCCCCTTCTGTTATCACCAAGAGGGGACAAAAGGCTGACCCCTTTCTGTAAGTCAATGAAATCTGAATTCTGATATAACTCAAAAGGTATAAAAGCAAGCCTTTTTTTTTAGGTTCATCGTACTGGTATCTGATATAGAACCATACAGAGATTTAGCATTTTATTATAGTTTATGCTCTTCAAAAGGGAGAGAATACAGTTGCGGTCTTAACCATCTGTCTGTATGGACTCAATTGATATTATGGATAAATAGCCGTGTTCATTCTATATATACTTTTACTTGTGGGGAACTTGTACCTATGGGGAAGTCATGGGAGGAAAATATGTTTCTTATGTTTTTTTTGAGATTTTATGTGATTAAAGAAAAAAAACAACATATTGTGAACTTAGATAGACATCCGTCTTTCACACTCTTGTTCTGAATATGAATATAACTAGATACGTATTAAAGGGATTTTATGTAAATATCACAAAGTGATAGAGACTTTTGAGAGGAAGTGCAGTGTCCAAGAAACATAACTCTACCTTGCTTCATGTTTTAATTATCTCCCGCAAGCTAAAAATGCTTATTCCAAACTATCACTGAAACTACACCCAGTTGTACAGACTCAAATTTGCCAAGGTGTCAAAGAACCATAACTGCATTCCTTAGTTTTTTAATTATCTCTCTTTTTAATAATACATAACTTAATTATGCTTGCCAAGAGAAAAACTGGAAAAGAGTTGATGGAATTTGATTTAAATTTTACACAGCAAAAACATTCAAGTGAAAGGAAGTGCATTTTCAAAGAACCATAATTTTTCCAATTATCATCTCTTATAATACATCAACATTAAAAATATTGGTTGTCTGGAGTAAATCTTTTCAATGATATCTCACTCAAACTAAATACAGTTGTAGAGACTAGTGAGCAGAAGTGCTGTGTCAAATAACAAAAATTCTACATTACTTAGTTTTTGAATGTTCAGAGAGAGGATTAAAATATTGAAGGAATTTGATTGAAACTTCATACAGTGAAAGAGATTAGCATGAGAAGTGCAGTGAACACTTTAAAGCCACCATAAGTTCCAATGACATGGCCACATTCATATAATGTGATGCAAAAATATTGACCATTTGAGTGTTTTCTTGATACTGATACAGAAAATTTAATATATTTATATCACAATTGATTATTATTCCCCAACTTCAAAGAAGAGGAGGTATATTGCTTTGCATTTGTCTGTCTGTTGGTCCGTCGGTCCGTAGACCAAATGGTTTCCGATCAATAACTAAAGAACACTTTGGCCTAGGAACTTCAAACTTGGTATGGTGATTGGTCATGACCAGCAGATGACCCCTATTGATTTTGGGGTCAAGGGGTCAAAGGTCAAGGTAACATTAACCTTGTAAGTAAAAACAGTTTCCGATCAATAACTAAAGAACGCTTAGGCCTAGGAACTTAAAACTTGGTATGGTGATTGGTCATGACCAGCAAATGACCCAATTGATTTTGGGGTCAAGGGGTCAAAGGTCAAGGTCACATTGACCTTGTAAGTGAAAATGGTGTCTGATCAATAACTAAAATACGCTTAGGCCTAGGAACTTAAAACTTGGTATGGTGATTGGTCATGACCAGCAAATGACCCCTATTGATTTTGGGGTCAAAGGTCAAGGTCTCATTGACCTTGTAAGTAAAAACGGTTTCCTATCAATAACTAAAATACTCTTAGGCCTAGGAACTTCAAACTTGGCATGGTGATTGGTCATGACCAGCAGATGACCCCTATTGATTTTAGGGTCAAAGGTCAAGGTCACATTGACCTTGTAAGAAAAAACGGTGCCCAATCAATAACTAAAGATTGCTTAGGCCTAAGAACTTCAAACTTAGTATGGTGATTGGTCATGACCAGCAGATGACCCCTATTGATTTTAGGGTCAAGGGGTCAGTGTCATATTTTGTTCACTGGGTCAGAAGTTGTGCATAATAACCTGATCACATGACAAATTGGCTTCTGATAGGGGGCATAAATGTTTCACAAACATATCTTGTTTTTTCATAACTTTATCTCCCTTTATTATGTCATGTGTAAAAAAAGTCGAGCTTGCAGTTTCCTCTTGTAGCTCTTATTTCACTTGGTGCTTTTGACTTAAAGGGCCAAAAACAGTTTGTGATGGACTTTCACGTACATGTTACCTAAATATTATATTTGAACATGTATGTCATAGCATACTTGTATCCACTACTGTTCATTAACTGAATTGTGCACTTTATATTTATCAACCGGCAACACCCTTCACTCATTGAATTATCTGCCCCCGAAATAGTAAGAAATGGTTATTTTGATCCTTCAAGAACGTCCCAACTGCAGTGCCTTCAGCACTTTGATTTACTATATATCATAATCATCGCAAAGTTTGTGCTACGCTGTAGCTGCAACAATATCACTCTTTATCTAATCTGTTATAAAACACTATACAAATGATATATATGAAGTAATTATTAGTGTTTTAATGAAAGCTAAAACGAAATTAGCGCGCAGATTTGTTGCCTTCCCATTTTATAAACTTTATACCCGTTAGTAATTGTAATATTTCGGACACTTTGTCGCAACACTACTCGTTTTATATTTGTTTGGGTCGTCAGACCAAACAAATAATGGTAGCGAAATTTCAGAGTCTAATGCTGTTAATTGCAAATGCCTAAAGTAGTCCACTTTTTGAAGCGGTTACTTCCCTTTATATGTACACTAACGCCGAAAAATTCCGGGGAGATCAATGCGTAAAGCTTGTCAATTGACAGGCGTATTAATTTTCAAGCAAAATAGTTCCCAAATGGTCGAAGATTTCATATATTGTTTCATTCTATATAGATATACATGCTTACAGTAAGCTCCATGATTATTTACATCTGTGTTTAGCGTCGAAATAAGAGTTACAAATCCTAATTTAGAATAGTATGGTTTTCTTCGGGCTATTTACATCTAACTTCACCGTGGCCGAGGGGTTTGCACGCTCGTTTCTGAATCGAAAGTTCTCGAGTTCAAATCCCAGTTGAGGCAACTCATTTTTTAATTTTTTTTTTTAAAGTCAAATAAACATTGAATTGACTATCAGTGTTGCATTTAGCCTTATAGCTAATTTACTGTAGTTAAAACACTGGAAAGCATTGGTGGCACTATACAAAAAGAAATTGGTTTATAATCTCATTACCTTCACCTTTCACCCAAACAAATTCAGCGCCTTCTGTGCTTTGATTCTTTTCTTATATCGTTTACATGCCCGACAATCAGTGATCCAAACGTCGAATACCAAGCGCTTATATATGATAGAAGGGTCAGTCATTTTAATGCGATACCCAATGGTATTCTGGGCTCACTAACATACGTCTTTTTCAATACTTTGAACAATATGATAATATTGCAACAGAATGGTTGTTCTAACACTTAATAGAATCAACCAGAGCAACCCCAGGGTGCTTGCTATATTTATAGATATTAGCATTTATATGTATTAACACGATTTTTTGGCTTTTACTTATATCATACATGCATGATCGAGTATAAATTAACATTATATTGTGTTTAGAATTCTAATCGGTATTAAATGTGACTGTGCACCGCGCATACGCATTAGTGTGCTTCCGGTCTGTCGTAGGACTGAAACTGAAATTTCTGTAAGAAATATATATAGGATTCAATCGTAAATTAAAACCACATACATTCGAAAATACCGATTACATTTGTGTGCAACCATTCCAAAAATTTGGAGTTACATGTATTCAATTTTATTAATTTAAAAGAATTAAAAATTACATTTCGTGATGCGGACAATGTACTGTGTTCGGATGTAACTAAGTATATGAATAGTTTGCTTACGTTGTACGGTACTCATATTATAAAATAAAACAATGACGAATTGAATATGATTTATTATGAAACTGGTTAGCTGGTAAGTTTAAGTTTAAAAGGAATGGTCACGACACTTCTAGGTGTAACGAGTTGTTTAAACTTCTTTGGCACGCTAACAAACAAATAAATTTGTCTACACGCGATATTCGGAGGCTAGAAATGAAAAAATGACTATGATCATCCCTTTAATAACAGTATGTATGCCCCATTCTAAAAAGTTTGTTGGGGCGATCTTAAAAAGACAGTCATAAAAATGAAGATACTGCGCATATTAATAATGATATAGACAGGAACCGTTCTGGTAGAGAGCCATTATACGTTTCGATGTCAATTTAGATGCAGGTATATGTGTTAGAGGCAAGCCTTATTCTATCTCTGGTGCAAGAACTATAACCTCATGTCTTTATTTATGTCAATTTTCACAAAGGTAGCAACATTTGCCTAAATATGAATCAAGATGTAATCCACGTCTGACATGGTGAAAAATCGTTGCTTCAGATGCTTTATTACATTCCCAATAACGAGCATTTTGAATATATTTGTGAAATGAACCCGGTAATGTCAAACAAATCTATGAACTGTTCTCCCGGTAAAAAACATAAAGAGAGTGATGAATATATATTTGAAATGTCCTCCCGGTACAAACATAAAGATCATGTTGAATATATTTTTGAAAAGTTCTCCCGGGACAAACATAACGAGAATGTTGAATATATCATGAAATGTCCTCCCGGTAAAAATATAAGGATAATGATGAATACAACTTTGAAATATTCTTCCAGTACAGACATCAATATAATGTTGAATATATATTTTGAAATGCCCTGTAGAAACATAATGAGCATGTTTAATTTATCTTAGAAATATTCTCCCGGTACAAAATAAAGAGAATGTTGAATATATCTTTGTATTGTCCTCCCGGTACAAACGTAAAGAGTAAATGAAAGGACCATTTGCCACATTGAAATAAAAAAGAAAAGAATACAAAAAGTTACCATGAAACCCAAACGAAACAAAAACATGTTATTCACAAATGATAAAATAAGTTAGATTGGTAAGATTTGTAAAGTATTTATCTTACCATACCATCTTGTACTCATGGTGATATTGTATGATATGTAAATGTCCGTCACCTATCCGTTGTTCAAAATTGCTTCAAATGACATTGTGTCTGTAA